TTTTTTCAAATTTCTTCACTCATAGCACTACAGACTGGTAAGAGCTGAGGGTCTGACTGTCATTCTTCTCTCAGCCTGTGCCAAGAGGCCAGGGCATGCAGTAGACCTGTGCTGCATTTGGAAATCTGTTGCAGTTAACCAGCATACTTCTACATAAAAGATGGAGCAAAATTAGAGGCATGAGGACGATGAAAACACATCTGGGGCTGAATGTGGCAAATGAGAAGACAGCATGTCAAAAGTATGTGGTGTGCACTAAGACATGGGTCAGAGCTCCCAATGCTGAAGAAACAAGAATGGTCCGAACTCACCCTAAAAAAACTAGAAAAAGGGGCTGGGGATTTAGCTCAGTGGTGCCACCACCTGCCTCAAAAGTGCAAGGTCCTAAATTTGATCCCCGGTACAAAACAACAAAAACAAACAAAAAAACACAAACAACAACAACAAAGTAACTAGGAAAACAAGAGCAAAATAATTCAAAGCAGGAGTTAAGAAATAATAAATACAGAACCAAATCTACATGACAGAAAAAAGACAACAGATAAAAACACAAACCAAAAGCCATTTTCTTTTTTTTTCCTTCATTAATTGGTACATTTAAGGTACACAGTACAGTTACTTTCATTATTGGGATCTTGTACCTTTACATGACAGGTCTTGGTTCTCATTTTTCCCCCTAGTCCCTGCCCTCCTTTCACCCCCTCATCACCTCCCCATTTACAAACATTTTATTTCCATTTTTCATTTTCTCCTATTTTTTTCTTTCCCTTATTACCTTTCCCCCACCCTTGCCACTTTCCTTACACCTTTAGCCCTTTTCTTCCCATTTCACAATGTCAGTAATCTTATTAGGATCTTCTGTAGTATTGCAGATTATTCACACCAGAGAAACTATTCGGTATTTACACATGTGTGACTTATTTATTTCACTTAGGAGTATATCCTCAGTATGTATCCATTTACCTATAAATGAATCTAATTTCTAATTCTTTATGGCTGAGTAATATTCCATTTTATAGAAAAACCACATCTTCTTTATCCAGTCTCCAAAGGATGGGCAAATGGGCTGTTTCCAAGTTTTAGCTATTACAAACTGTGCCGCTATAAACATGGATGAGCATATATCACTCTGGTATGATTCTTTAAATTCTTTTGGAAAGATACCCAGAAGAGGGATGGCTGGGTCAAATGGACAAAAGCCATTTTCTAAATTCAATAACCTTCTTGCTAGATGGACAAGATTTAAAAAAGAAGAAAAGAAAAAGAAAGGGTGGAGGGGGTGAAGGGAGGGCAGGTGTATGGGGAAAAATAAGAACCCAGACATATCATGTAAAGGTATAAGATCCCAACGATAAATGTAACTGTATTGTTTGCTTTAAATATACCGATAAACTTAATGTGGGTAAAAAAGAGAGAGAGAGACAGAGACAGAGAGAAAATCTTCAGGAAAAGCAAGGATGCCTGCTCTTGCCACTTCTAGTCAACATAGTAGTAGTGTTCTAGCCAGAGAAACTGGAAAAGAAAAAAATAAAAGACTCATATTATAAAACTGTCTGTTGATGGTATGATCTGATTATAGAAACCCTATAGACTCACCTGCACAACAGCCAAAACTAATAAATGAGCTTGACAAAGTAGCAAGACAAAATCATTATACAAAAATCAGCTACATACCTATACACTGACATTGAATAACCTGAAAAGGAAATGATAAAAACAATTCCATTTAAAACAGCATCAAGCTGGGTGTGATGGCGCATGCCTATAATCCCAGCACTCAAGAGGCTGAGGCAGGAGGATTGCTGTGATTTCAAGACCAGCCTGGACTACATAGTGAGTTCCAGGTCAGTCTCAACTACATAGTGAGACCCTGTCTCAAAAAAAACAAAAAACAAACAGACAAACAAATAAAACAGCGTCAAAAAAGAATTAAATTATGCTGACCCTAGTGGCACATGCCTGTAATTCCAGCCCTTGGGAGGCTGAGGCAGGATTGCTGTGAGTTCAGACAGCCTGGCATTACACAGTTCAAGGTCAGCCTGAAATACATAACAAGACCTTGTCTACAAAAAACCAAAAAGAATTAAATTAACCAAGGATATGCACATTATTTTACTGCAATTAAAAAACTGAAAAAATAAATCAGTGTAATTTACTATATTAAAAAACTATAAAATAAAATCCGTGATCATTTCATTAGACAACAAAATAATTTAAGCTGGGCATTGTGGCACATGCCTGTAATCCTAGCACTCTGGAAAGCTAAGGCAGGAGAATTAAAAGTTCAACCCCAGCCTGGACACCTTAGTAACTTAGAAAGATCCTCTCCAAAACAAAAACAATCAACTGGAGTCTGGATAAAGAAGATGTGACTTTTCTATAAAGTGGAGTACTACTCAGCCATAAGGAATGAGAAACTAGAAATATTTATAGCTAAATGAATGCACATTGAGGTTATACACTTTTTTTTTTTTTTTTTTTGTACTGGGGTACTTGCAAGGCAGGCCACCGAACCCCTGAGCTAAATCCCCAGCCCTGAGGTTATACTCTTAAGTGAAATAAATAGGACACACAAGTAAATATCAAAGTTTCTCTGGTGTGAAAAACTAAAAGTGTAAATAAGGTTCAAATGGTATAATTGAGAGGGTGAAATAGGAAGAAAATGGCTAAAGGGGAAGTGGGAAAGGGGAGGGGAAAGGAAATAAGGGAAAAGAAAAAAATGTGAAAAAAGGAAAAAATGGAAACAAAGTCTTTGTAAATAGGGATGGGTGAAGGTGGTGAAGGGAGGGCAGGAGTATGGGGAAAAAATAAGAACCAAGACATATCATGTAAAGATCCCAATGATACATGCAACTGTACTGTTTGCTTTAAATGTACCAATAAGTTTAATGGGGAAAAAAAGGCGGACATAATAGCACTACTATTTATATCGTATTGAGAGTTATGGGTAGAAATATCCAGGATATTACAAAAAATCACATTGTAATGATGGTGTTGCTACACTTATGCATAGGAAGACCACATCCTCCTTTAAAAATATTACATTTCTGTTGTTTTATAATGTTGCTATAAAGAGAAATATATTATCTTTGTATATACGCAAGTTTTCATAAAGTTCTTTTCCTTTTAAAAAAGAAAACAAAAAAAATTTTTTTAAGAGCTGGAGATGTAGCCCAGTGCAAAGACCCTGGGTTCAATTCTCAAAATTTCAAAAAAAAAAAAAAAATCATTTGATAAAAATCATGAAAAGGGCCAGGGATTTAGCTCAGTGGCACCATGCCTGCCTCATACGTGCAAGGTCTTAAATTCGATTCCCTGTACCAAAAAAAAAAAAAAACAAGATTAAAAACTTTCAGGAAACTAAAAAAAGAGAATTTATCAATCTGAAGAATAATAAACCTATATCTAATATCACAATATAAATACTTTTTCTAAGATTATAAACAAGGCAAGAATGTCCACACTCAACATTTCTAATCAACACAGTATCAAAAGTTGTAAACAGTAAAATAAAGAAAGAAATATAAAGAATTTGGAAAGAAAATATAAGGATATTTCATTCATAGCCAGTATAATCATATATGTGGAAAATATTAAGGATTCTACCAAGAGAAAGAAAGAAAGAAAAAAGGGGCCAGGGATCTAGCTCAGTGGTTCTGCCCCCTGCCTCACAAGAGCAAGGTCCTGAATTCAATCCCGGGTACCAATAAAAAGAAAAAAAAAAGAGAGAGAGAGAGGGAGGAAGGAAGGAAGAAAGGCAGGCTACTAGAACAAATGTAAGATCAATATACAACATCAACTGCACTTTTTTAGCCTAACAACAAATAATGGACACAAATCTTAATACTACTTACAATTAACAATAGCATCAAATATATAACACACTGTGGGATAATTTTAAAACAAATTATATGTAACACCTCTACTGAAAGCTACAAAACACTAGTGAACACTACTGGGATTTTTTTCAAAGATCTAAATAAATAGAGTTTTACCATGTTCATTGTCTGGAATTTCTCCAAGTTGATCTGGGGATGCAATGAAGATCAGTCAAAATCCCAACAGTTTTTATAGAAATGACAAATGGATTTTTATATATTAAATGCCAAGGAGCTGGACTAGCTAAAGCACTTTTTAAAAGGAGACGCAGAGGACTTATGCTATACAACTTCAGGAACTTCTATAAAACCACAGTGGTCATGGCTACGCAAGGTGTTGGTATATGAAGAGAGAACTAGAGCAATGGCCAACACTGTAGAGACAGCGCACATAAACAGTCTACAGATTTTCTGTAAGATGCAAGTGAAACGGGGTGGGGGGTGGTCTCTACACTCGGTGATGTTACAATAATTAGGTATCTATAAACAGAAATGTTAACTTTACTCATGTCTCATACTTTTGATAAAATCAGAACGAACTATATATTTAAATGTAAAACTTACAAGTATAAAATTCTGGGAGAAAACTTTCGTGATCTTGGGTTAGGCAAAGATCTCACAGCTCAGAGGAGGGCATTCCAGGAGAAGCTCCCTGAGGGAGGTTTGGGTGTGGGCTGAAGCGCAATAAACGAGGACACCGGAAAATCAGCAGCACCTCTGAGGCTGCACACAGGAACCCACTGCAGCAGTACCAACCTCTCAGGTGGCTGGGGTGAGGGCAGGGAACCCTCGTGGACTGAGACCCACTCTGCATCAAAGACAGGAACTTGCCCCAGCTGCTTGTTTCCTCCAAGGCTGTAGATCCACTCCTTTCTCACCCAGTCTAGACCTGAGTTCCTCCTCCCTGCTCTTCCAGTTCCCTGTCTGACTCATTCGTAGATAGTTCCACATGATGCTTTCTGTGGTAACCTCCACCACATACACTAGTTTCCTTTCATCTGCACAAATAGGTTACAAGGGATGGCTGCTTAGGGTTTCTAAAGGGAACACACTGAAGCTGTTTTCGATACCCAGAAAGAAAACCTGTGCTCTGCTGTTTCAAGAGAAGAGAGGGATGCTTACCATCTGCTGTTTCCAGGATGCTGCCGCTGTACCCTCGAGGAGCACCTCTCACTGAGGCCACTTGTGGCCGCTCATAGTGTGGATGCTGCACAAGGCCAGTGGTGACATCAGGAGGGGCAGAGTGCAGATCTGCTTTAGAGAAATAAACCCAAGGAAAGTGGCTGTTAATTCAAGTGAGTGTTCCAATCCCGTTTGTAAGAAGTTTCACTAGCAAATGAGAACCAAGACCTGTCCTGTAAAGGTACAAGATCCCAATGATGAATGTAACTGTACTGTATACCTAAAATGTACCAATAAACTCAATGAGAAATAAATAAATAAAAAGAAGTTCCGTTCGCTAAGTGTTAAGCAGGGGAATGTGATGCCCTGGTTAGTGTATTCTTCCTGCTCTGACCAAGGGCACGGCGGACCCTGGGAACTCCAATGAGTGTGGAGATGCAGGGAGGTGGAGGCTCCATTCCCCAAGGGGTCCAGACTCAGAACCGCTGTCCACAGCACAGGGGCTATCACCACTACAGTTTGGCAAGATCACTACTGACTGAAGGATTGGCTGACTAGCTGGGGCACTGGGGCTAGAACTCAGGGCATTTTTATTGAACTACATTCTTAGCCCTTTTTAAAATAATTATTCTTGTTACTTTGAAAAAGAATTTTTTGTTGTTATTTTCTTATTTTCTCAGCTAAGTCATTAAATTGCCCAGGCTGGACTCAAACTTGTAATACCCCTGCCTGAGCCTCCCAGTGCATGGGATATTTCAGGGGTACGTATAGCACCAAGCCCAGCCTGACAAAATTTTATTTAGAAATTCTCCCTCAAGAATGCAGAAACAAATTTAAAATCAAGTGTTTTGGGAATATTATGAAATAGCAGAGAGATTTCTAAAAAGCAGCCAACCCTCTAAAAGGTATGCTAGCTATCACGAAGAAACCACCCTTGCAAACTGCAAAGAATAAAACTACAAAAATTAAAACTGTTCCCACTACAGGTTAAAAATGTTACAATGATGAGCCAGATGCAGATCTCAGCAACTCAGGAGGCTGAGGCAGGAGTATCACAAGTTGGAGGCCTGTCTAGGTAACAGAGACAGACACCTGCCTAAAAAAAAAAAAAAGAAAAAAGACAAAAAAAAAACCCTTCAATACTAAAACCACAATCAGCTTCTTCAAGTAAATTTGTGGACCACACCTGTAATCCCAGCACTCAGGAAGCAGAGGCAGGAGGTGGTGAACCTATGATATGCATGTTATTTGTTTTTCTTTTAAGACAAATAATGTTAACACATAAGCTGTTTTTTCTAAACTAAAATCTCAGTGTTCGTGTTTAATTGCAGTGCAAGTACTTTGCAATAAATGACTGGGTTTTGAGTTGCAGTTTGGGCACCTGACTCTAAAAGATTCGCCATCACTGTTGTACATGTTTAAATTCTGGTCATCTATTATTTCATTAACCTATCTACATTACAAAATAAGACTTTTCACATATGTAGAAAGCTGAAGTATGTTCCTTTTAAAAAACCTGAGCTTTAATGACACAGTTTCCACAACTTTTGCAAGAGCTCATTGTTGAACAATTAGCAGTGTAAAATGTGTACCAGGAGCTACTGTTAGTTTAAGAAGAAATTTTCTCAAGCTCCCAAACCTAACAAAAATAAATGATGAAAAAGTATACATGGAAAACAATAAATGCAGACACGGTGATTTATGTACTACAAAGTAGTTTTTAAAATAACTGCAGCCAGGAGTGGTGGCACACGTCTGTAAACCCAGCATTCGGGAGGCAGAGTCAGGAGGATCACTGTGAGTTCGTGACCAGCCTGGGCTACATAGTGAGTTTCAGGTCAGACTCAACTACATAGTGAGACCCTGTCTCAAAAACCCCAAATAAATAAATAAATAAAATAAAATAACTGCATAAAAACTATACTCAAAAATTAATTAGCATAACTAAAAATACTTGTAAATATAGTTATTTACATTTGTATCAACATGTTGAATGTATTTGATTTCCTTAATCCAAAACTAACTTTTTAATTACCTTTACCTAATATGTTATACCTCAAGCTTTCTACTTCATTTACTCTTTAAATATTTCTTTCCTTAGTTCAAACTAAAGAATCACCTAATGTTAGGAGCTGAAGTAAAGAGCAATTTTGTAATAAGAATAGGGAAGAGGAGTAGAGGCTGAACATGCCTATCTGAGGTTTCTTGGGACCAGCGCATTTCAGACCTCAGAGTTGCTTCAGATTTGGGAACATTTGTACATTTTGCTGCTGAGCATTCCTAATCCAAAAGTCCAAAAGAAATCCAAATTGCTTAAAGATAGGAAAGGAAGAAGTTAAACTATCATTATTTGCTGATGATATGATACTCTACACTGAAGACCCAAAAAACTCCACCAAAAAACTTCTAGACTTAATTGACAGATTCAGTGGAGTATCTGGATACAAGGTGAATACCCAAAAATCAATAGCCTTCTTATACACAAATAACAGACACACAGAGAGAGAAATAAGGGAAAAAATTCCTTTTACAATAGCATCCAAAAAAATGAAGTATCTAGGAATCAATCTAACAAAAGAAACAAAAGATCTCTACACTGAAAACTACAGCACTCTGAAAAAAGAAATTGAAGAGGATATAAAAAAATGGAAAGATATCCCCTGCTCCTGGGTAGGAAGAATCAACATAGTGAAAATGGCCATACTACCAAAACTGCTATATACATTCAATGCAATGCCAATTGAAATTCCAACACTATATTTCACAGAACTAGAAAAAAGAATCCAAAAATTCATTTGGAACCACAAGAGACCTAGAATAGCAAAAGCCATTATAGGCAACAGTCACATGGCACCAGGTGTAACAATTCCCAATTTGAAACTATACTACAAAGCCACTGTGATAAAATCAGCATGGTACTGGCAAAGAAATAGGCCTGAGGATCAATGGAACAGACTGGAAGACACAAAAACAAATGCAGATGTACTCAGCTACCTCATCTTTGACAAAGGAGCTCACCATCCTCAGTGGAGGAAAGATAGCCTCTTTAATAAATGGTGTTGGAAAAACTGGATATCAACCTGCCACAGATTAAAATTAGACCCTTATCTTTCGCCATGCACTAAATTAAAATCCAAATGGATTAAAGATCTAAATATTAAAACAGAAACATTAAACTTGCTGGAAGGTAAGTTAGGCAGAACTCTGGAAGACATTGGCATAGGAAAAGACTTTATGAACAAATCCTCAGTAGCACGGGAACTAGCAGAAAGAATCAACAACTGGGATCTCATCTTATTAAAAAGCTTCTGCACTGCAAAAGAAACCATCAACAGAACTAAGAGACAACCTACAATGTGGGAAAAACTTTTTACCAGCTGCTCCTCAGACAAAGGACTATTATCTAGAATATATAAAGAACTCAAAACAACCAGCCCCCCAAATATAAAGACCCAAATCAAAAATGGTCATCTGAAATGAACAGACATTTCTCAGAAAAAGAAGTAAAAGCAGCAAGTAAATATATGAAAAAATGTTCCACATCACTGGCCATTTGAGAGATGCAGATGAAATCAACACTGAGACTTCACCTCATCCCACGAAGAATGACTGCTATCAAGAAATCACACAACAACAAATGTTGGCGTGATTGTGGGGAGAAAGGAACCCTTCTCCATTGTTGGTGGGAGTGTAGACTGCTGCAGCCACTGTGGAAATCAATACGGAGATACCTCAAAGAACTAGGATTAGAGGTTCCATTTGACCCAGCCATCCCTCTGCTGGGTATCTTCCCAAAAGAACTAAAAGAATCATATCACAGAGAAGTATGCGCACCCATGTTTATAGCGGCACAGTTTGTAATAGCTAAATCTTGGAAACAGCCCATTTGCCCATCCGTTGGAAACTGGATAAAGAAGATGTGGTTTTTCTATAAAATGGAATATTACTCAGCCATAAAGAACGAGAAAATAGATTCATTCATAGGAAAATGGATACATATTGAAGATATACTCCTAAGTGAAATAAATAAGGCACACATGTGTAAATACCGAATAGTTTCCCTGGTGTGAATAATCTGAAACAATGCATAAGATTCTAATAAGATTACTGACATTTAGAAATGGGAAGAAAGGAGCTAAAGGTGTGGGGAAGGTGGGATGGGTAGGGGAAGAGTAAAAAGGGAAAAGAAAAAAATGTGAGAGAATGAAAAGATGGAAATAAAGTGTAGATGAGGAGGGGAGGAGGGGGTGAAGGGAGGGCAGGGGTAAGGGGAAAAAATGAGAATCAAGACTTGTCATGTAGAGGTACATGATCCCAAAAATGAATGCAACTGTACTGTATCCCTAAAATGTACCAATAAACTCAATTAAAGCTGAAAAAAAAAAAGAAATCCAAATTCCTCCAACATGATATCTGATGTATCATTCAGATTTCAGATTTCTGATTTTCAGATTAGAGAAACTCAACCTATATTTCAAAATTTAGAATTTGAGTCAAATATGTCCCGTAAATGGCATACAAGAACTACAATCTACAGGAAGGTTTTAGAGTCCAAGATGAGATATTTTTTAAATGTTCTAGAATTTACCTCAACCATGTGAGGCCAGGCAAATAAGAAAGGAAGACACAGCTGAAAGATACAGAGAGGCTGCCCATCAGTGTAGGAAACAAACCCACATCACTAATACAGGCAGCCAGGTTCTTTTCAGAGACTGGAAACACCTAATTCAAGCACATGGTAGAGTTAAGAGCTTATTTAAAAGGCATGCCACAGCTCCTAGAGGAGCTCAGTGCTGACTCTTCACCACAAACACACCTGCATTCCTCACTGCTCACAAAGAACAGTGACTGGACACCCTGGGTGGCTGAGGATCTGCAGCTGCTCAATTCACCCTGCAACATGTTACTGTTTCACTGAGAAGAGCTTCAGGGAGCAAACACAATGCAACACTCAGGGGCCGCAGTTTCTCTCACATGAGCATTAACTGTGTTTTAATAAAGTTCATCTCCAGATAACAGAGAAGGAAAACACAGTGTCATGGCTGTCTTCATGCTGTCTGCCAACCTCCTTGAAAAAAGGTGGCCACATGCAGGACACCAAGCAGGCCACACCATTGAGACGGACTGTTTTCCAGGAGACACTGGCTCCTGATGCCTTGGCAGGTTGTGCAAATCCTCTGTGTGGCAGACACAGCATGGGTGCAGATGAAACTCCATGAATCCCCACCTGACTTACACTGCAGAAAAGTACACATCCAACAGAATTATGAACATGGCGTGTACCAACTCAAACAGATAAAACACAAGAGCAGCACATGGAGGGTGCAGGGGCAGAAGCTGTGGGCCACTTGGAACCCCCCACTCTAACTCCCTGACTCTGCTCACACATGAGACCAACACCTTGAGGTGGCCTGTGGGGAGCCCACCAGCCCCCAGCCACCCACCATAGGCACCCTACAGGTGCTCCCCAGCTCAGCAAAGAGGAATCCAGAAAAGTGTCAGCCCTGGCTTCCCCATTTAAGTAGCCATGTGATCTTAGAAAACTGCAATCACCCCACCTTTTGTCTTCTACAACTAGCAAAATGAGGAATGAAGGGGCGAGCCTCCAACCACCCTAACTGTACTTTAAGGTATGAGGCTAGGAATGTACTCAGGCTTCACACGCCAGCCCTACCCAGCTAACGACACCACTGCTTCTGTTTTAATAGGGTTTCAAATCATGGAAGGTTGTGGTTTTTTCCCCAAGATTAATGTAATCCAAAGGGCTACGTGATGTGGAAAAGACTCATGCATCTTTGTGATAGCTTTGCCTGACACTTTGTTTTCCAGTTGAGGGGTATCTGGAGGAAGACAGACAAACCCAGCTGTCACCACAGCCCCTGCCTCAGGACTCACCCAGGTGCAGGGACCACACATGGCCCTGTAGCCAAGAAGAAAGACTAATGACAGGCAGCCTGCCAAGGGCAGCTGTCACAACCACCAGCAGCTACAATGTCGGCCACCCACTGGAGCAGGAGGGGCCCAGGGCCATCCAGATGCCATGCACCCCTGGGGCCTGCAGGAGTCAGGCTGCCAGAGCCAGAAGCACTGAAATGCCTGTTACCACAGGCCCTTCCAGATGCAAGGTGGGTGTGGGTAGAGCCGCACGCAGCACAGGCCCATGTGCTATAGGTTTTCAGGACTGAAGACCAATAACATGTTCAACATACTCCCCCACTGCTGCGGGGTGTGGCTATTCAAAGTGCTGAACCAGCCAGCATGTGACATCAGGCCTCACAACCTCGTCCCTTGGCAGAGCAGGGTGGGACGCTGTCCTGCTGTCCACAACGGCTGTTACTGACCTATGTGGGCGTGGGCCGCAAGGCCTGCAAGCGCAGCGGCGGCACTGGGAGCAGCGTTGGGTCTCCCTCCCGGGTGAGATGAGGTGGAGGAAGCAGAGGATGAGGTGGACGAGCCCTGAATAACCCGGTCGAGCCAGGGCTCAACGCCAGGATGGCTCTGGAGCGGAGTGGAGGTGAGTCGCCCGGGTCGCCGCAAAGAGCCCTCATCTTCTGAGGCGGATGACGTGTCTGCAGTTAAAATGATGACAGGCATGATATCGGGATGGTCCAGAGGGGAAGCCCCACCACCCAGTGGGCAGGTGGGCACCTTGTATCACCTAGACCTACAAGGGCGGCGAGAGCTCAACTGCAGGGAGGCGGACCACAGGGCCTTGGCCACGGGCACCACACACCAGAGGTGAAGACCCTGGCAAGGACTGCTGCACCACGCACGTCCACACTCAGGGTGTCCTGGCCAGGCAGGAGCCCTGCCCTCGACATGGCTGTGGGGGCTGTGACTTGTATGGGGGGGTGCTTCTTAGGGAAACAGGTGAATCGGTTTTAGAAAGAATCCCACTCCAAGACAGTGCCTCCTTCAGTCAGTAGCTGAATTAAGGTTTCATCGAGTCAACATAACTGCATTTTTTTTTCAGATACTGGGGTTTGAATACAGGGTCTTCAGACACAGCTATATCCCCGGACCTTTCTTTTTTCTTTTTTACTTTGAGACATGGTCTTGATAAGTTACTAAGTTGCCTAGGCTGAGTTTGAACTTGGAATCTTCCTGCCTCAGCCTCCCAAAGTGCTGTGATTACAGGCATGCACCAGTAGACTCAGGATGACTGAAAGCATTTTATTATGAATTTTACAATTATGCAAAGATTCTTTCAGAATTGGATAATGTCTATAGAATTATTTAACAGAAACAGTAATTTGGCAGCCATTTCGAAGATTTATTTTAACACTACATTTTTTTCCAAGCAAAGAAGCATTATCAAGAACACTAAATTATTTCACAAATCTGGTATGTTTGGTTTTTACAGTGTAATAATTTTAAATGCATCAAACTAAAACTAAATGTCACCACTTAGTACTTACTATGAGGAGCAGCTGTGAAGCCACCACACCTTGATGCCTTGGTCCACGTACAAGTTCTAATTTCTAATGCTTACAATAACAAAGCCACAAAATACACCCAAATGACTCCAGTCTTATACCATCCCACATAAGTCCTGGTAACAGCATACTAAAAGCAGGGGTAAGATGAGGATAATTTAAAAAGTCTTAATTTAGAAAGTTTTACTATTCCACTGAATACTTATTTTAGATTCTTCTCTTTACTAAAAGACATAAGTAGCAAGTAGCCACTTGGGTAAGCACAATACTGTGTATGCTACAGAATTCCAGATAAGGAATGTGCACACATACAAACACTTTCATCTCAAAATTTTCCAAATCTTACTGCAGCTGGAAGGATATCCCAGCTTGGTGGGAACATGTGCTATATCCACTGGCCTGTGAGTCCCACACCTCTCCCCATACCTGGAGGGGTATAAGTCTCTACAGATGAATGCACAAGGACAGAACGTCTTTTTGAAGGCATCGGCATCTTCCTCTCCTTGTATTTGGCCAAAGCTGCTTGCACAGCCTCAGTGTGGACATCTATAAGAAAGAACAGCAGTTGAAAGAAATATTTCCAGTTATAAATTAAAACCAAAAAAAAACTCCCCAAATTGAAAATAGTGATACAAACAAGCTTGTGTTCAGTTACTAGCTTATACTATCCCAACAGACTTTAAATAGTAGAGTAAGACTACTCAGGCTGTTCCTCCAGAAATATCTGCTGCAGACAAAAACAGTTATGCAAAAAGTCTCTAACTTTTTCAGCCGTGCTGACAGTAGTAAGGGCACTGTCATAATAAAGCATTTTCTAAGTCCTTTTGGATTCAGTAAAGGTAGGGCACACGATGGCCTAACTACACCACCCTCGGTAACTTGGATACTGAGAGGGACAAGCAACACAATGCAGATAAATCTTGCCTCCTGAATCTTAGTGGAACATATCACTTGAATAAATGTGGCATTTTTTTGTTTAAAAAGTATGTCTTAACCAGGCACGGTGGCTTACAAACCCAGCTACTCAAGAGGCTGAACAGGAAGATCACAAGTTCAAAGGAAGAATAGGCAGCTTAGCAAGGTGCTATTTTAAAAAAAAGGACTGAGGGTATGGCAGAGTGGTAGACCACTTGCCCAGCATGCACAGAGTCCTAGGTTAAACCCAGCACCACCAAAACCTTAAAACAGTAACAGTCGTAAGATCTACAGTAAGAATGTCTTCTATCTATGAAACTGTAAAAAAGAAAAAAGAAATTTGTAAGTTTTACTGTCACAACTCAAAATGTAAAAGTTACAGCCATGGTGCATGGTAAGTGCTGAGTTAAGGTACAAACAACATTAAACATGCATGTGTGTGTATACAGGAAGAAACTGTACAAAGGCAGGACTCTCCACACTGGGAGTCTCACAGTGGAACCCGATGAACCTCCTGAAGATGGAGGATCTCAAAAACAGAGATCAAGATCCTATGACATCTAAATGACACAACCTAGCTAAGGTTCACTTCACAACCGTACGGGAAGGGAAATGTTGGGGTATAGGTGAGTTCATGCCTGAGCACTCAAAAATGGTTCTGGGGAGGCTCTTATAGATTATACATCTTGTATATACTTAAATTCATCTCCAGTGAAAAGCTTTATAATATTTAAAGCCTTACATTTAAGTGGGTTATAGAGCGTTAATCAAAAAGATGCAAATCGGGGCTGGGGATTTAGCTCAGTGGTTCAGGCGCCTGTCTCGCAAGCGCAAGGATCCAAATTCAATCCCTGGTACCAAAGAACAAAACAAAACAAAACAAAAACCCAAAAAACAAAAAGATGCAAATCCACACCTTGTTCACGAAAATAAAATTTATGAACATCAGAGAACTGCTGCATGCCTGGGACCTGGCAGTTGCAATGTCGCGGGCACTTGATGACCACACGGCAGGCAATGAGCAGACTGTGGGCTCCTACACTGCCTGCGGTCCCAAGAGGCCATGAGGAGGTGCTTCTCTCCAAGTTTCAGCCCTGCCCTTGGCTCAGAGACTGTGACACTTTTGACAGAGATTGGTACACATCCTGAAACCTAATTGGGAGTGCGACATCACTGCGATCAAATACAACGTAAACGACGTTTTCATTCCATGAAGTAAAAAATAATTATATTCCAGTGACAAAAAGGGCATTAAATTCAGTTCCAGTCATCACTGCTGCAGTTGGTACCAGACAAAATGAAAAATGACCCACCCACTGTGTACCTCTGACCGAGGGAGCTGTGTCAGTACAATGGAAGGAATCCAGCTGGCTAAAGAACTAGGGCGACTTATCTTGAGCTACCCAGCCTGGGTGACTACTATACAGGGAAATATTTTGGAGGCGTGTTGGAATACTTTATGATTCAAGCCTTAAATCAGAAGACAAATGAAAAAATGAAGAAAAGGAAAATGAGAACCTCAATTCATGGAATCAGACCACCGCAGCTTGAACAACCAGAAAAGACACCTGTGTTAAAGGCTGGAGCCTTGCATTGTAATTCTGACCTAAATAATTTGCTATTCTCCTGCCAGTGCCAGACGTGGTGTTCTACCACCGAGACTTGCAGGAAGTCACAGAGGCCCACAGGCATGCTCTGCACCAGCAGCCCCGTTTTCATGCTGCTTTTCAATGTGAAGAGTCCTGACAACATTCAGGACCCCAGCATCATCCAGACCAGCCAGGACCTCTTCACTATAAACCAGGATCCAACTGCATTGCCAAGCACCAGCTGGCCTCCAAGGGCAACCCTATGCTATACACAGTCGTCAAGGACACTGTCTTCCGCTCTTGCCTGTCTGCCATTTTGTACTTCATTTATTCAGGTACTTTTTTGGGGGGGGGTACCGGGGACTGAACTCGGGTGCTTGCACTTGCAAGGCAGGCCACCGAACCGCTGAGCTAAATCCCCGGCCCTATTCAGGTTCTTTTCAATGGGAAGAATTGGAAGAAGAGATCAGTAAGAAGAAGAAAGATTCTGGAGATGATTCTAATGTAATTGAGAAAGTTAAATGTATTTTAAGGACATCAGGAAAGATCAAATGCCTAAGGAATTGCAAAACTTACCAAGCCAGAAAACCTCTGTGGTTTTATAACACTTCCTTCAAGTTTTTCCTAAATAAACCAATGCTTGCTGATGTTGTCTTCAAAATACAAGGTATGACAGGGCCAGCACAGGGCTATCCTGGTGGCCCATTGGGAAGTGATGGCGGCCATGTTTAATGGTAATTCATGGAAGCAAAGAGTGTCCTGATTCCAGGGTAGGGCACTTCCAGAGTCTTCCTTGTCGTTTTTAGAATACCTAACCACAGACTCCTGTTGCCCAGCCGTCATCTTCCAGGCCATGTGCCTGCTGATCTGCACTGAGATGTACCAGGTGTCCAGGCTGCAGCACATTTGCAAACTGTCCATCATCACACAGCTGCAGAGCATGCTGTGCAGGGAGCATCGTCAGCCAAGTTTCACCGTCCTGACTGCCTTTCAACCTGGCTCCTTCATTGCATTGCCACCAACTACCTCATCTTCAATCAAAAGCCTGAACTTCAGGGTCTTTCAACAGAAGAACACATTTTGTTGAGAAACATAGATGTCTATCAAATTTGTATTTGAAGCAGCTTGCAGAATACAGAAGTGTATTCACTCTCAGAAATGTCATTGCTTAGTAATGTAACCTGGAGCTTTTGTGTGTGTGTGTGTGTGTGTGTCTGTGTGTGTGTGTTTTCCTTATTATTAAGAATGGGATATCACTGGATTCCAGTGAAATTATGACTGAATGCCAGTATTTCAAAAATCAGCTTAATGTGGCTGGGTGTGGTGGCGCACGCCTGTAATCACAGCACTCGGGAGGCTGAGGTAGGAGAATCGCTGTGAGCTCGAGACCAGCCTGGGCTACATAGAGAGTTCCAGGTCAGTCTCAACTACATAGTGAGGGGGCTGGGGATTTAGCTCAGTGGTTCGGTGGCCTGCTTTGCAAGCACAAGGACCCGAGTTCAATCCCTGGTACCAAAAAAAAAAAAAAAAATCAACTACATAGTGAGACCCCACATCAAAAAAAACAAAAACAGCTTAATGTGTTTATTAGCTCTCTTTGAAAAACTTACAACTGTATTCTTTTTTTTTTCCTTTTTTTTTCTTTGTATTGAGGTTATTGGTACAATCTAGGTATACAATACAATTACATTCATCATTGGGATTCTGTACCTTTACATAATAGGTCTTGATTCTCATTTTTCCCCTTGTCCCTGCCCTCCCTTCACCCCCTCCTCCCCTCCCCATTT